TGACCGTTACGCTGCCAACAGCCCCACAGCCCGTCTGCACGGGCCTGGCACGGGGTCCGCAGCGAGATGGAGCTTGTTCGCAGCTCAGGTTTCCCGAAGGCCTTTGCAGAACTGTCCCGGTGACTACAGAACCAAAGTCTCCGACCAACAAAGATCTACGCTTCCTTGTACCTCGTTCCCTAAGTGAGCTTTTAAACACTCCGTGCAAAGCAAATTATGAAATTAATCCTCTCCACAGGATAGAAGCGACACCCCTCGCTCCGCTGGCATGGCACCAGCCTCAGCACGTTGGAGCAGCCACCATGGCCCTGCTCCAGGAGACCCTGCGCCGCTCCGTGGCCCCACCGCCCCCAGCCGGGCCGGCCAGTGGGAGCCACGACATTCCCACTGGAGTCTGGTCAGCCCAGCCCCAAATCTGCCACCGCCAGAGCTGCTTTGCTGATGGCACGGCTCCTTGGGGTCACAGGTCTCACAGTCCCCCTCCCCAGGAGCTGGCTACAGCTGAGAGGGCGCTGAGGGGCGCCCCAAGGCCTTGACCCACCCTTCCATGCCCCACAGCATCCAGGCTGGCGTGCGGAGCAAGTCCCAACAGGGGAGGCAGGGAGCTGTGCCTCAAAATGCAACTGCTGCTAAGCTGGCTTGTCCCACCTTAACGGGACCTTGCCCCTAGCTGGGGACCTTGATGTGGGATCATCCCAGCACACCCCGGCACTGCTGGTCTGGGCAAAGGGAGCCGAGACCAGTGACAGCCAAGTGGAGCTGTTTGTGCAGAGAGCGCTGGGGAGTTTCTGTAAAGCACGGCAATGAAAGCACATTTAGCGAGTCCACCAGGTGGAGAAAAAGAGATGAGTTGGAGCAGGAGCGCCGATGCCGGGTCGGATCCTGTCCCTCTGACAAGGTGGCAGCAGATCAGACGCTGGCAGCCGGGAGGCAGCGGCTGGTGCGTGTCACAGGCTGCAGCAGCTGAAATGCCATTCCCTTCCCTCGCGTCCCGGCACCCTCAAACCATGTCACCCCTGCCCTTTCCCCCTGCCCAGGCCAGAGCAGCTCCAATCTGGGTAAGTCAGGCAGGTGACAGGTCCGTCTGCTGCTGAAATCAATAAGAAAACACTCCTGCCCTCTGAATCGCTGTCCTGCTTAGGGGTCTCAAAGTAGACGAACTATTTCCACCCCATGAAATCAGCTTCACCCCACCC